GCCTTGTGCGCAAGGAGGGCGTAGGCAGCGGAAGACCTCTACTCTCCCTGCTGGTCCCCGGCAAGGAGTCATGGGACCGCCTCGCCGCTTCCCCCATCTGCCCCCCTTCTCCACTGGTGCTACACTGATTCTCTTCCCCAGAAGATGGGCTGCCTCTCCCAATCCCGGGACGCTCTCTGGAATCCCTCTGGATTTTGCTCTCTCACTCCGGCACTGATGGCAGTTCCCTGACATCCACCTCCTCCTCAGGACCCCCACCCCACCCCTGGCGCGATTTTCCGGTACAACCTCCTCTCTCTCCTCGGTCGACGATGCGGGGAATCCCCTGAAGGAGCTGTCATCATCTTCTGAGGATTCAAAACCAGCCTCCCATCCGCTTGGATTTCTTCCCGCTGGTTGAACCTCCCAGTCTGATCCTTCTCCCTCAGACACCTCCCCTCCCTCCTCTTCGGAGGCAGGAAAACCCACAAAGTCCCCTTCGTCGTCTGTGGGTCCAAATTCTTCCTCCCAGAATCTAGCTAATGGTTTGGGCTTATCCGGGAACAAACGGTGGAATTCTTCCACCAGATACCCGTCAGTGATTGATTCAGCAGGGACCCAAGTGTTTTCAGACCTAGGTTCCCCCTCCCAGGCTACCAAGTACTCTACCTGGCGATCTCGCCGCCTTGAATCGAGTTTTTCCGTGGCTTCGTTACAGTGTTCCCTCTCCTCTACCCGCGGGTGGGTGGTAACCCCTCCCCCCGTCCCGGGAGTTCCCGCCCCTCCCTGTAAGGTGAATGTAGGGACCTATGGAACACCGGATGTATCTTCATGCTGTCAGGCAACTTGAGTTTAAATGCCACTGGGTTAACCTGCTGTATTACCTCAAAAGGCCCCAACCGCCTCGGCTGCAACTTCTTGCACCCTCCCTTTAGGGGCAACCCTTGGGATGACAACCACACCCGGTCTCCCACCCGTATGGCCTCCCCCTCCCGACGGTGCCTGTCCGCCTGCCTCTTGTAAACTTCCTTGGCCCGCTCCAAGTTCAGCCTGAGTTGCTGGTGTAAGGCCTCCATTTCTTCCACCAATTGCTCAGCCGCAGGTACACTCCATCCTTCCTCCCCCCGCCCCGGGAAGGCCCTGGGGTGACACCCGTAATTGGCCATGAAAGGGCTCATTCCCGTGGACACGTGTTCCGCGTTATTGTACGCAAATTCAGCCAAAGCTAATTTCTCTACCCAATCGTTCTGTCTCTCACTGACATAGCAGCGTAGGTACTGCTGGAGTATACCGTTCGCTCTTTCGGCTTGTCCGTTGGTTTCTGGGTGCCTCGCCGTCGAGAAGCTCACCTCGACCTGTAGCAAGCTCATAAGTCTCCGCCAGAACCGGGAAGTAAATTGTTTCCCGCGATCCGAGAGTACCCTCAATGGAGCCCCATGCAGTCTAAAAATGTGATCCACAAACAGCCTGGCTGTCTCCTCTGCCGTTGCTGCATGTGAGTAAGCTACGAAATGGCACATTTTAGTCAGTAGATCGATCACTACCATGACCGCTGTCTCTCCCCTTG